GAAAGGGGAAGTACAGGAGACAACTGGACACGAAAATGTTGGGTAGGTAGGAAGAAAGAAGGGGGCAGATGGACTTGGTAGTGAATTGGTGGAGGGGAAGATGATGGGAGAGGGTTTGATGGACATTGAAAGGGAAAGTTGGGTGTTGGGGTGACATGTGGGGAAGGAAGATTGGAAAAGACAACGGAAGAGAGGATATCCGGGCGTGCAGTAAGGTAATGAGGAGGAGGGGGGAGAGTTTGTGTGGCTGAGGTGACAGGGGTTAAGTCAGTGGTATGCAGGTGTGAGGGAGGGAGCGAGCGAGCCTAATGGTGAAGGAGGGAGAGGAGGAGGGGTAGATGGCGGTGGTAGAGAGGGAGGGGGGTGGAGGTGAGAGATGGGTTAGGTCAGGTAAGGTGTCGTGTGTGTAGGTAGTGAGGTAAGGGGGTGTGTGTGTGTGACCCCCCTCTCTCCCCAAATGTTGTCTCCCGTGTTCAAGTGTACCATTAGGGAGGTAAGTAGAAGAGAGGGAGGTTGGTGGGAGGTGTAGAGAGAGAGAGATGGGGGGGGGGGTAATACTGAACGGTAGGTTAGGTTAGGTTAAGGTATTGTGAATATTAGGTGGGTTAGGTGAGTAAGGTTAGGATAGTGTTATGGTTAGGTGAGTGGTGTTAGTGTGGTTATAGGCTGTGATAGGTTGGGGTGCTAGGAAGGCCAGGTAGGCTAGGCTTGGCTCGGGTCCTAGGAAGGGTTGGGTGGGTAGGGTGTTAGGATGGCTATAGGGTAGAGTAGGGCCGGGTGAAGGTGTAGTGAGTGGGTAATGGATTTAGAGGGTGGTTATGGGTAGGGGGGAGGCTCTGGTGCCCTGAATAGCGGGGCATTAGCGTGGCATTGTGCCCCTCCAACTATTATACACTGCCAGTTGCTCCATACATTCTCTCAGAGGTTACGTGAAATAGCCTCCCCACCTCTCCTCTTCTCTCACCCCACTCCACTCTCTCTAACTAGCAATGAGAGAACTTAATAATAGTCAGGATGAGTTTCTCTACAATATCGACGCCATCTTCTATCTGTGGTTCTTTTGTTTCGTAAGCTTGGGAATGGGTGCTTCTCTTATACCCGTTCTCACGTGTCCAGTGCAGGGGAAGAATTATCGTACGCATCTGTGTTTATCCCTCAAACCGGTTTACGCTTCACGACACTCATTTGTTTCGCCACTCCCCTCTCTCTCTTTCTCTTACTCCCATAATCCTTCAGTCGTTCGTTTTATCCTCCTGTCATTATCGTTCATCCCTTTTATTCCTGGTCCCTGCACCATGACCATTTATTGCTGCTCCCCATTCACCTCCATTACCATTCATCGCTTTATATACCATAGCTCTCTCTCTCTCTCTCTCTCTCTCTCTCTCTCTCTCTCTCCTTCCTTCTTCCTTCCTTCCTTTATTATCGTCCCCTCTTATTACTCACACTTTCCCCTTTATTATTTGGCTGCTTATTCATCACCTTTCCCCTCTTCCTGATTTATCCGTCTGTTCTGTGTATACTTATTTTTATAACTAATATCTCTCTCTCTCTCTCTCTCTCTCTCCTTACACCATGTTGACTCTCCCTGCCCCTGCCTCCCTCCTCCTCACCTTGTTGATTCTTCCTCTCACCTTCTCTCTCTCTCTCTCTCTCTCTCTCTCTCTCTCTCTCTCTCTCTCTCTCTCTCTCTCTCTCTCTCTCTCCTTCCTTCCTTCCTTCCTTCCTTCCTTCCTTCCTTCCTTCCTTCCTTCCTTCCTTCCTTCCTTCCCTCTTACCGTATTCCCTCCCCTGTATGTCACCCTCTCCTTCCCTGTTGTCTCCCTCTCTCCCTCCCTCTCACCCCTCGACCCTTCCCACTCTCTTTACGCCACCGTTATGTGATACTTTATCCCGCCTCTTTTAACTCTTCCAGTCTCTCCTCTCATCATCGTTATTACTTCTTCTCTTGTTACCGTTTGCTTCACCTGGTGTTGTTGACCTCTCATTCGTTTCGTCTTCCCACCCATTTATTTTGTTCCTTATCCGCTACTTGGTTGGTTTTCTCTTCTCTTCGCTTCTCCCCCCATTATCAGTTATTCCCCTCTTCTTCAATTTCATCTCTTCCTGTGTAATTATTTTCTCTCTTTGTCACTATAATTCCCTCATTCCTTTTCTCCTTAATTCCATTGCTCTCTCTCTCTCTCTCTCTCTCTCTCTCTCTCTCTCTCTCTCTCTCTCTCTCTCTCTCTCTCTCTCTCTCTCTCTCGTTCTGTTGGTCCTTGAATGTCTTTGTCATCTTGTTAACGGGAATCTCAAAGGGATGCGAGTTGGTTTTTCTCGTAATTGGAGAGTGTGAGAACGTATCTAACTCTGACTGTTGATGTGGCGGTGGTGGTTGTGGTAGGTAGTGGTGACGATGGTGGTTGTAGATAGTGGTGGTTACTGTTGAGTTAATGGTGGCTGTGATGGTGTTAGTAGTTGTGGTGGTTACTGTTAATGGTGGTTGTGATGATGCTAGTAGTTGTGGTGTTGGTGGTCACAATACGGTCCCCCTCCCATTTCCCTCCCTTCTCATATCTCCTCTTCGCTAAATTTACCTTTCCTTCCCGTTTTCTCACTTTTCCCCTCTTTTTCACACTTCCGTTCGTTAGTTTCCTTTCTTTCCGTTCCATCATTCCCCCCTCCTCCCTTGTCTCCCAACACCAACCTACCTTCTCCCCTTTCCCCCCCTCACTAGTTCTTCCTGCTGGTACTCTCGTCATTCCCCTCACCAGTTTCCCCTTTTTTCCCCTCGCCTCCCCTTGCTGGTCTCTCACCTCCCCTCACTCATCCCCTCATCTCCCCTCACCCCTGCCTGTGATGACTAGACTATAAGCATCAGTGGATTTGTGTTCATGGTCGGGGTACACATACTAGTTATCCCGTGTGTGTGTGTGTGTGTGAGAGATTGGTCTCGGTACATGCTGTTTCCTTCATGTGTACCTGTTATTTTACCCGGTTTGTTATTGAACTGTTCTTGTTATTTTGACTGTGGTTGCTATTTTATCAGTATTCAACTACGGCTTTTGTGTATCCGTCGTTGTAATACCGTTGTCCCTATTAAGCCGTGGGCTGACGGTACCGTATATATCGATATCTGTGGTCTCGCCGTAGTGATGACGTCATATACTCGTGATGGTGGGGGGTAGGGGTTGATGAGGCTAATGACGTCATGGAGGGTTGTTGATGAAGCTAATGACGTCATGGAGGGTTGTTGATGAAGTTAATGGAGGCACGAGGGGAAGGATGATGAAGCCACGTAGTAGACATTAACGTCATTCTTCCCTGCCATCATTCTCTCTCCTTCTCTTACTCCCTCTCCTCCTTTTTCCTCCAGTCCCTGTTTGTCGCCTTCGTCCTTCCTGTCGTCCCTCACCTCCCTCGCTCCCTCACCTCACCTCCCTCCCTCCCTCCCTCCTCCCTCCTCCTCCCTCCCCCTCCCCTCCCCTCACCTCCCTCCTCCCTCCCCTCACCTCCCTCCTCCCCTCCCTCCCTCCTCCCTCCCTCCCTCCCCTCCTCTCCTCCCTCCCTCCCTCTCCCTCCCTCCCTCCTCCCTCCCCTCCCTCCCTCCCTCCCTCCCCTCCCTCCCTCCCTCCCTAGCTGCCACCTTTCATTAAGTGAGGTGATGGTGTGGGTGGGTGGCTGTCCCTCCCCATGTCCGTATGTTGGATCATCCCGGGCTTTTGAGGCCACCCGGTAATTGGCATTTGGCTCATTCCTACCCCCGTGTGTGTGTCCCCTGAGCATCACACACACACACACACACACACACACACACACACACGAGATGTTCCCCCTAATGTGTGTGTCACCGCCGACAGCTTTTCCCCATCTCGTCATTTCACACACTGTCAATTAGTCAAACACACGAGTCTTCGCCGACATCTGGTGCCTTCCAACACCCCTTTCCTCTCCACCCCTCTCCACCCCCCGGCCACTGGCACCCCCCTTGTCTGTTGTACGCATATTTATCCCATCTGGAGCTTACCTGGTGTTGATTTCTGGTTGGCTTCTTCCCTCCCCTTGCCAGTCCCCTGTTTACCTATCTCCGACCCACCTACTACCCCTGTCTGGCGCTCAGTTGTACTCATGTTTGCCTTGGTTATGAGAGTTTACCTGGCATCGATTGGAGGGGATCTTCTGCTTCCTCTCCTCACCCCCTACACCCCCTCTCTCCCCCTCCTCCCTCTCGCACACACACACAGAGGTCTATTGGTTACTAAGCTCCCAGAGACGTCACAGAGGCTTTGTATTTTCATCTCATAATTAGAGGTTTGATGACACTTTAGTTACTACACAGTAAAGTCTTCGTGTAATTTCGACGCCATCTATATTTTTGTTATTCTGTTTTTTTTGGCCTCCAGTTGCGTACTTGAATGAACTTTTTTCTCCTGACACTACACACACACACACCTACCTACCTACCTACCTACCTACCTACCTACCTACCTACCTGAACCTTGGCCACCACCACCCACCCAACACCTGCATCATAAATTTACAGTGCAACGTGCAATGTACACCTGCACCTGTGGGGGGTGGGCAGCACCTGCACCCTGTATACTGTTTTGTCCCACAACTCTCACAAATAGTCGTGTGGGGGGTGGGGGGCTGACCCAGTAAACAACGCGGCTGAATGTTCGGACTTTGTGCCTGGGGTCTTTATGAATTTACATTACGTATATATTGAATCATTGCGTTATATTATCCTTCCCTCATTTTCCTCCTCATCGACGCTGTACCTACATACTGTACCCTCCTCATACTCCTTACACCGATACCTTAATATTATCTTAAATTTCCCCTCATGAATTGTTTCCCCTCTTTTACTCCTCTCCCCCATACTCACCCTCATTACTTCCCCACACTCGCCTTATAAGATGCTTATTTATATTCCCCCATTAATTCCCCCCAATGTACAGTCCCCCCTCCCCCGTCAGTATGGCCCACCCACTAATTGAAGTTTGTGTTGTCCTCAGATTCTCAAGATAGCGCACGGTGACTGGCGCCGGGCGTGCTGAGGCTGAACTGGAGGGGCTAGGTGAGTCCACGGCTCTGTGTGTGTGTGTGTGTGTGTGTGTGTGTGTGTAGTAACGAAGACTGGTTCGTAGGAGAGGTCTTCTGGAGGGAGCATGGTGAGTACAGGGGTTCGATCTCTCATTATTAAGAGAGGGATGGGACTGGGGGTGTAAGGAATGGGTGTGTACAAGGTGGGAGGGGAGGAGGGGCGGGTACTGTATCTTCGCCTCCTATCATTGTACGTTACTTTACCAGCTACTCGGGTCACCTGTGGACTAAAGATCCTTCCCTTCAGTTTATATCGCTTTTAAGATTTAGGCCTACCATCCGAACGCTAACCTAACCCAGATAATAAGCTAGAAGGATTAATATTTATGTAATCCAGAAGTATTTATAACCATGTGAATGTCTCCTCTCTGCTGTCTGATTCTTAAACGGTGTAAGTACTGTTAATTTGTCGAGTCTTTTTCCTGTTGTTGAAAAAATATATAAAAAAAATCCCTGGTGTTTGTGTGCACCGAGGGAAAAGGTATATATACACTGTTAAGTTTCAGTGTAGTGAAAGAAAGAAGTAAAACAAAAAATTCTCGGGGTCTTATAAAACTTTGATCATTAGGTTTGTGACACCCTCGCCACCCCCCGCCCGCCCGCCCCTCCAGATGGGGGAGGAGGAGGAGGAAACGTTCACTCACCCCTCCTGGCTTTGTTCTTCCTGTTAACTTTCTACTTTAATGTCATGATAGGAGGAGGAGGAGTATGAGGAGGAAGAAGAAGTGGAAGTGGTCCTGGGTGTTGATGAGGTAGAGGAGATTTTTTAAAGCAGGTTCCTCTTAAGTGAGACGTTGGTATCTGAAAGTAATATTTAGAGAACTGGATTTTGTTTTCTTCGTCTGGTTTCTACTCCCTTAGCCCCTCATTCACCCCCCCTCTCTCTCACCCCTCGGGAATGACTTATGAGGTGGGTGGTATTCCTGGAGGTGCCGTAAGAGGAGGGATAGAGGGGGGTGATGATAGGTCAGTTCCTGGGATTAGTTTGGTAGGTGTGGAGCGGCGGCGGCCAGGTGGACTCCCCCTGACTGTTCAGGTAGAGTGACGTCACGGACTGGGAATTTCCTGCACGACCCCGCCCACCTCCACTCCCTCATTCCTCCCCTCCCTCCTCCTGTCCCCTTTCCTCCTTTCCCTTCCCTACCTCCCTCCCTTCCCTCTCTCCCCTTCTTCCCTCCTCTTCCATCCCCTTCCTCCCCCCCCTAACTTCCCGCCCCTTTCCTTCCTCTCCACCACCACCTCCCTCTCCCTCCCGTCCCCTCTCCTCCCCTCTCCCTCTCCCTCCCCCCTCCCCTCCCCCTCCCTCCGACCCCGTTCCTCACTCACAGTTCATGGCTTTCCTCCCTGAACTTTCTCGTGACTTTGAGTAATTTGATAGATTTTCTTCCATGTTGTTCCTGGATTATTGTCTTTGTTGTTGCTGCTGGATTATTTTCGTCGTTGCTCCTGGTTTGTTGTTGTTGTTGTTGTTGTTGTGTAATTATCGTCTCAATTTTCCTCCCGATTTCGCTTGTTTACCATTGTTGGTGGTCTGGTCTGGTCTGGTCTCGTAACCTTTTTATGGGTAATTCTCGTGGCATTTCGTTCTGGAGGTTGAAAAGGACGAGAGTTACAGGTCTTATTATAGGTTTACATCTTGGCTTTATTGGTTTATTTATTTTGAAACGTTGAGTATTTTTTATTGGTTTTATTATTATATTCATTATTATTATTAGTTTCATATTTTTATTTTTAGATTTGTTCCGTTTACTTACTTTTAAGGAGTGAAGAAAGCCAACCATTAGCGGCAGTGAAGGTACACTAGTCATACCCCCCTCCCTCTCTGTCTGTCTGTCTGTCCCCAACACGGTGGCGTAACAAGGTAGTGTGGGTGTTGAACATGCATTACTCTACCCTCAGGTAACTCCCCTCTGACAAACACTAATTAAACGCCAACGGGCAGGTGTTGAGGTGACTGTGACACCTGTCCCTCGCCGCCGGGGTTCAGATTCTCCAGGTCCGCGCCTTCTATTTATCTCGTAAATGGAGACGTGTCAAGGCTCCAACAGACAAGACTTGGTCAAATCACTGAAAATGGCTGGCATCAAAATACACTGAGACTTGGCCTTTGCGTTAAATATATAGATGTTTAATTTAGCTCTGTTTTTAGGGGACAAAATTAACTTACTGATTGTTTATGAATCTGGACCCGGGAGGCTTCTGTCTTTGTCTTGTCTGTTGGAAAAGAGAATGAGTGAGTGAGTTAATGTTTGTGTGTGTCTATTAAAGGTAAGCCTTGTTTTCTGTACCTTGAACTTCATAAACGCTGTCAATTATCTGCCAGAAGGTGTGTGTGTGTGTAATAATAATAATAATAATAATAATAATAATAATAATAATAATAATAATAATAAACGGTTTATTAATAGTGTGTGTGTGTGTGTGTGTGTTTAGATCGATTAGTTATATAACCTCAGCAAGGTGGTGGTGGAGGAGGGGCCAGTGGGTGGCGGTGGTGAACTGGTGCGCCTTTGTGTTTGTGTGTTGACCTCAAACTCGTGAACTGTGTTGAGGAATAAGTGGATGATTGGCAGTTAGTGAATAGGAAAAAAAGGTAACTTATTAAAATTAGTAGTAAAGGGATGGGAAAAATAAGTTAAATTAATGATTGATAGATGAAGGGAACGTAGGTAGTTTGTTAATAAAAGAATGGGGATTATAAAAGATAAGGTTAATAATGAGAGGATTAAGAAATAGATAAGGGAATAATTTATTAAAACAAAAAAGAGAGAAGGTGATAAAAGTGTTTGTGGACTAAGACTATTCATGAAGGGTCAGAGGGTTAATGTTAATAAAAAATGATGAGAATTAAAATAAGAATTAAATGGTGGTGGTGAAGGAGGTTTATTTGGGAGGTCAGTGTGGAGGGTGTTGACCGCGCTTGACCTCCGTCCCTCCATCGTAATTTGACCTCCAGGATCAGATTCTGAACACTTGAGAGTGACTGGTGTGATGGTGGTCTCGAGGAACACCATTAGGAGTATGGGTTCATATATGGTGTGTGTGTGTGTGTGTGAAATTTTTCTCAGATACCCAGCTGACACCGGCTTTCAGGTAACCTAGGCTTGACTGAGGATTTGGTCGGTGGGCAGGAACCTGGTGCATGTGAATCCTTCCCCTTTACCCAGACTAGATTATTTATGTGCCCCCGATATGCTGTGGGGAAGGAGGGGGGGGGGGGCTAACTCTGGGAATAAATCAATAAAAATAATATACTGAGGGCAGAAACTAAGCCGCTTAACAGTTTACCTGGGCACGAAATATCATGATTTTGAAAGGACGGATGGCAGTTAGTCGGGTACATAAATATATCACGGGCGAGGTTTGGTCTGGCGGCTGCTGGCTGGTGGGGAATCAGGGCCACGACTCTTAAAGGTTCGGATGTTGATTTTTCCTCGCAAATCGAGATGTGAGGAAGCAACTGACTTGACCAGACTTTAGCTACAGCCCAGTAATAACATCCATCCTGGCGCCATAACTCCACCGAGACTCAACCTTCAATAAACTGACAAAACTTAGCACTACATGGGAGATAAGAACACCCTTATGGCTAAATATTAAAACTCCAACAAGACGTCCCAGCATGACTTCGAAAAATAATTGCATGGAGATTATATTACTGTACGAGATAAAAATTTTTCGTCCGCTATTACTTCCCCTTCCCTCCTCGCCCCCCCTCGTAACCCCCCCCCCCTCGCTATCCCCCTTAAAAAAAAGATGATGGTAAGATTCTTATGAAACCCGGTTCTCGTCGAGGAGTGAAGGAGGAGGATGCTGCTGCTGCTGGTACAATCTTCAATTTTTCTCGCTCGGGTTGTTTGGCACGAGAGCCAGGTGTGATCGTGTTTCTCATCCCAAGGTATTGAGATAGAAGTCGGACCAGGACGGGAAAATGTTGTCTTTTATTTTTTTCTCACTTAATTTATTTATTTTATTTTTTGGACATAGCCTTATTTCACCTGATAAAATACCCTAACGTTACCTCAGGGAGTTAGTTAGGTGAAATAAGCTTGGTGAGGGCTAATCTTCAGGTGATCACTCTTAGTATTTAGTTATGGGATTTATTTTATATAATTTTGTGTTCTATTTAGTGATTCAGGTTCATTGGGGCTGGAGGGGGAGATGGGTAGGGGGGTGGGAGGGGGAAGGGGGAGAAATCAATATACAGAACACCCGGTAGACTATACACTCGATACAGTATTGTTTAGCGTTGGGTGTGTTGACAAGTTGAGACGCTTGAAATGAAAGTGGGTGTTATGGCAGCTGTACTGATTTATAAACATCCAACCCACCCGAGCAAATTGTTTTCCATAGTTGAAGATACTCATGAATTCAGACATAGATTAACGAGGTTTATACGTAGACATTAGTACTGATGTAAGTGTAGGTTGTATGGTGATAGTATAGTAAAAGTAATAACCGGTGTCTTGTTATTGGGTACGGGTTTTGTGTTGCGTTGTGTGTGGGCGGAGGAAGTGTTGATTCATACCGAGAATGAACTCGTGTCCTCAAGAGTTGAGCTGGCTGTTGGCACCATGTCACCACTTTCTTCATCTTAAGAGGTTTAACATATCGTCATTTCCTGCCTCCCCCCTCCCCTCCAGCTGAAGAGTTACTCATTTAGTTCTAGGGATTTATTTCAGTACACAGCCCGCGTCATGATGGTTTATCTAAGGGGGTCTTCTCCGGGGTCATCCTTACCTGATGAAAATAGTACAGTACTGATAATAAAAAATGGTAATAAAAGTATCATAAAAAGTACGTGTATTAACAACAGGAAAAAAGTACAATAGCATCGTTGTATATTATTAACCTGGACCAAGAGTGTTTGTTTAGGGCCACACACTTGGAACCCTGAGGCTCTCGGCGTGTCTAAGAGTGTGTGAACTTGGTTTGTTGCAGTGGGGGAGTGGATGTTACAGTGATCATTGCTAG